AGAGAGAGAGAGAGAGAGAGAGAGAGAGAGAGAGAGAGAGAGAGAGAGAGAGTGTGTACCGGTACAAAGAGGTCGGTATATCAAAAGATACAACACCATCAGGCTTTGAATAATCAATGGGCTTCCACTGTTGTGCTTCCTGAAAATTTAATCAGCAATAAACATCAATAAGGAATTTGAACATTGCTTCTAATAAAAGAATATGACATAGATGTAATCTTCAAGCTGAAGGTATAATAAAGCCCAAAAAAAGAAATTAACTGTCTGAATTTCATGACCATGTAGGACTTATGTGGAAGGTACTCTGTACCAGTGTAGGGGGGATGGCTGATGTTGGAAATAAACTAAAGATTCCAATAAACGCAGCTTAATCCGTTTAATAAACTAATCGATCTGGAGTCCAAAATATAGCATTTATTTAAATCAGCCAAGTCTAAGCTCCTAGTTAAGCTCGTGAGCTTGTTTGTTCAAAAGCTAGCTCCTGAACTAACTCTTATGTTGGTTCATCAAAATTTTGTTTAGAGACTTATACCATTATTATTTATACATTGTTTCTACATAATAACTTTTGCTTCTCTAAAAAAAAAATGAAATATCTAAAAGGAAAGGGTTGAAAAAACTTTGATAAATAGAACAAGAATTAACGACAAAGATGACAAACTGGAATTCAAGACTTAAAGGAGCATATTTTGGTGCCTAATCTTCCAGGACAAAACTTTTGTTGTGACAACCAAGAAGCTCTTTTTATTGCATAAAAATTCAGCACGTCATGAACAACCCAAACATACAATGTACATTGTCACTTCGTTCGTGACAAAAGTGGAAGAAGGGTTCATTTCTAGCGAATAGAAATGTTAAATAAAAAGACCAACTCATATATATATTCACTAATGCGGTAAATGGAGTACAGATGAAACTTGAAAGACATTTTATGACAAGCTGGGAAATAATTATACATATCAGTGAACTTTGTATTTGTACCCTTGAACAACATAATGAAACAATCAATTCACAGGAAATTACAGACCTTTAATATTCTAAGTTCTATATAATATACAATCAGTCTACGAAAAAAATGTATGGTTTTTTCAAAATTTTATTTTTTTTTTCTTTTTTTTTATTGGGACGGGTCCACACCCGGGCCAGGCCCGGCCTGGCCTGCCGGGTCATGGACCCGGCACGGACCTAAGCCGTGCCGGTTCAGGGTCCACCAAACCAACCCTTCGGCCCAGCGGGCCAGGCCGGGTCGTGACCCGGCCCGGATTTTGGCCATGTCTATCTATATTCACAGTAGGATACTGTTGCAATATTATATTACAGAGTTATAGCATCCCAAATCAGATAAACCGACAGAAAAAGAATAATTACTTCACAAGAAATTCTTACATCAGTCGCCTCATGGTCGGGCTTTCCATGCTTCAGTGTCCATGGTGATCTTCCCTTCATTATATAACTGGTTAAGGCAGCAGCATAAACTAGTTAGTAGTATAGTAAATTTGTACAAAGCAACAACTGCAAAAAATAACAAATATGCTTTCTCAACAAATAACAATCAATCTTACTGTTCTAGAGCGCTTAATGCTAAACCAGGAAAGAGACCATAATCAAACGCCTGAAAAATAATTGGAGACATGTTACTACAGACAGTGTTACTATGACATTGTAAAGGATAAAATAATTTCTAACTCACTGGGCGATAGTTTCTGGCACGGTGAAGTTCGTTCCATATCCACGAACTTCTTAAGCTTTCCCAGAACGCCTCTAATGATGCCCCTTCATGGAGGGTACTGAATACAGATTCGGCTGCTAACATACCTGTGAGACAGAAAAGAAAATGCATTAGCATAACCGATATGTGCCGAAAAAATGCATTAGATTGATAGATGTGATTTTTCCTCAAAATCAGTCATAATATGCTGAAACAATTTAATTTTTATTAGTAAATCGTTAAATATCTTAATCCCTTATCATGCTGGTCATTCTATAATAAGGAAAATATATCTCGAGATGCTAACATTTACAAGTTGAACATAGTTCATCATCCAATGTCAATAAAAGCCAATATTTAAGCTGGCAAGAGTAGAATCACTATAAAACATATTTGCCAATAGCAATTAGAGAAAGACAAGGCAGGTTAGGAAATGGCCTGATTAGCAGGAGGAAGGTTTTTAACTTCTCTATTTTGATATCTTTCATCTATTTGAAGTTTACTCTTACGAAGACGATCAAAACTCTACCAGAAGCAGTTAATAAAAAATGGGTTTTTAAAACTCGACAAGATGTACATCAAAAAGATAATATACATATTAAGAAGGCATGGTTTGTAAAACATTCTCTAATGATGCATATCATTCATCATCAAGTAACAATTACCAGACCAGGGAAGTAATGAAATAATAGATATAGATTACTGATACCTGATTTCATTGCAGTGTGTGATCCTTTTATTTTCGGTACATTTAAGAACCCAGCTGAACATCCGATGATTGCTCCACCCGGGAAAACTGGATAGGGGATCGACTGAAATTTAACTTACATCATGAGCATTAGAATTAGATTATACATCAAACTTGCAGAAGACACTGTATTGAGGACAGGTATTTCTTTCAGTAATTAGCATATGAACCTAACGTTTCCGCTTTCCAACTTTATTAGTCATGATAATTATTGATTTTTAAAGTCACTCATAAACTTAAATTTTCAAAACTGAAGAAAAAAGGAAGTTTTGGTTCACCTGATAACCTCCTTCATTTAACGTGCGAGCCCCATACTCGAGAACTGTACCTCCTTCAAGGATGGGTTTAATGGCTGGGTGATGCTTAAATTTCTGTAGATGAGAAACGAAATATAAGATAAATATTTAAGCATTGCAGTAGCCACACTAGGCTGGTTAGCATAAAGATAGAACAAACAAGCCCTGAAATTCAGCATGCTGCTGCTTCTGAAAAAAAAGTCATCACAAAATCACAAAGTAGTCCCTCGTCACTATTCTTCTATTTTACAAATTGTACTTGTTGAGCATGTAATTGTAAAATAAACAAAAATCCCAAGGGGGTTATTTCTGAGATAGTGAGACGATTGAATTTGTCCGAGAAGAAAGTAAGGGGACAGTACAAAAGTTTAAACTTCAATTGAGAGAGGTATGGAACTCTAGAAGTATTTTGGTATAGCATAGGGGATGGAAAGAAATCACTATTCCCTTTATGAAACAATAATAATAATATCCAATTCGAAGAAACTATTTGCTAACTCTTTCTGTTCTACTTTCTATCCATTCCAGAGTTTGATTGATTGAATCTTTCTGCAGGATATTGACTTATCCGTTATCATTGAACAAATGAATCACCAAAGTCCTTCTGTAATCTCTCTATAGTCCCCTTACACACCCTACCAAAATCACTATACAGTCGATGGAAGCACTGGACACAGCTACAACAAGAAAGATGCAGTTACCAGAAAGAAGAAATATTTTTTCACAATTCTTACGAAATATAAGTTAGCAAGATTCAAGCAAATCCGTACAGTGCAAATTAACAGTGATATATAAGAAGCAAAAGTAATCAAGATATGTTTCATATTTACCTGAAATTCTTCATAAGGGTTCAAGAAAGGATTACGATAATTCAATGCAACAACGTATCCAATGGCCACCTACAGAGAAGGAAAAAAATAAAGGAAAACGAGATATCAAAACTAATAATCTCAAACCACCATCTATTATCTGCCACTGGAAACAGATAAAGGAAAACTATTGCAAGATGCATAAGTCAGGAACAGCAAGTTGAAACAAGAAAAGCGCTCCTTCAAAATGCACTTTTTTAAAAAGGAAACAAGAAAAAGACAGAACCAAATGAAATCAGGATCCAAAAATATATATATGTGTAGAGGGAAACAAGAAGATGACGATACCACAAATAAAATATGGATGTCCCCCAACAGTCAAGCCTAAAACTAGGAAACCGTAGTTCAAGCTATGTCCAATCTAAAATTAGGAAACAGGAGTCCAGGCTCTCTCACAAATGAGAATTAAAAACTTTTAAGTGAGAGCAACTAAGAAGAGAATCCTGCTATATTCTATAACTTGGTTCTGCCATCACTTTCCTGTCTAAATCACTCCACTACTGAGACAACACAACATTGTAAACTTTATGGCTCCACAGATAAACCCTCATGTATGAAGCATAAGTTATCTAGCCAAGAACAGAAGATGACTTGATAAACATTACCCAACTGTGTTCATGGTTATCTGAATCATTGTCACTATAAAAGGTATTCCCCTCACTGTATACACATATGGCAATGGAGGAACCTACTAGTGACAATGTTCGATATATTTTCTTCATTCAACTTACTAAAGTGTGCTCTAAACTATCTGTGAGCTAGTAACTTGAAATGTTTGTTCACAAAAATTCTTGCTATGCAAAATTTCCCTCCAGAAAATTACCTCAGCTCAATCAGAAGAAATAGATTGGTCATGGAATCATTAGCCACATAATAGTCTGAAACTTCGAACAAAAAAATCACAACTAAAATTCTCTAATTTTCAATTTTTTGCCCCATCTCAATATCATTTCAATTTGGAAATTGTAGGTGGTTATGAGCAATGTTCTAGAAGTCGCGAGGCGCCCGCTAAGCGCTCGACCAGCGCCTAGGAAAGGCCTAGAAATAAAGATTAAATATCTTATTTTTTTATTATTTTCAGTACCTACAAAATAAAATTATCTCAATATTAATATATTATAAAGAAAACATGATAACAAAATAATGTAATAAGTATTTAAAAAAAATTAAAAAATTAAAAACTTGCCGCCAAGCCCGCCTAGGCCCACCTAAGCGCCGCCAAGCCACCTGGCCGCCGAGCTCGCCGAGGAGCGCCTTGGTCCGCCTAGGCTTGCCTAGGAGCCGTCTGCCGCCTGGCCGATTATTTAAGCCGATTTATGCAAATCGGGGGCAGCTGGGCAGCGCCTAGTGCCTAGGCGCCGCCTAGGCCAATTTTTAGTAGTGGTTATGAGTACTATTACCTGTCTATCCTGCATATGATATACGAAAGAACCCCCATATGTCTTGGAATCGAGAGGCCAACCAATCGTGTGGAGCACGGTGCCAGCACGATGCTTGTCTTCAGGGATTTCCCAAACCTAGCAGATAAATCAAGTTCAGGATCAAAGTATTTCCATGATTAAAAAAAAAAACATCAGATATATATGTATGTCAAGCATTCAATGCAAGAAGCTAATCCCAGACACGTATTTGAAGAGAAAAAATACAGTGAATAAACACACTTCTCTTTTGATATTATCCATGAACTTCCAGTATTCAGAGAAATATATGAAAGCATTAACTCATGCTATTAAGCTTTCCATCTTTATAAATTTGGTGTCTGACACCTTTATTTTAGGCAAAAGATTAGAAGAAAGACAGAATAGAAATAAATGAAAGATCAATCATAACTTAAATTGGAGAGAAAAAAGATATGAGGAACATCAACTGGTTTGGCCTTAATTTCTGAAGGACACATATTAAAATTATTCACTCACTAGAACTCAGTGAGAGCCACATTTTAAGGATATATACACAAAGATTGGTGCATAAAAAAGAATAATTAGAAGCTTCTGCAAGCAGAAAAAATAGACTATACTTGCGCAGAGTTTAGAAGGAAACGGAAGGTCTCTCATGTGGGATGCTGCAGGCTACCTCTTTAATTCCTAAAGCATATGTCTGATGTTGCCCGTTCCCTTTCGCTCGCAAGTTGTATTTTCGGATTACTTTCTGCTTATACACCAAAGAAAATCGGATAATATTAGTCTCGGAAGAAGAAAATATCCTTATTAATTACAGGAGACAGATCACTGTGGCAAACCTCAGATAGAGATCCTCGACAACCTTCAGCGAACAGAGTCACACGTCCTGAATTAAACATACTGTAGATCAGCATAAGCAACTATTTAGCAACCTACGACTCAAGACATCCTAGAAAATACCGATATCATCCTTTTTACTAAATTCACAAGCTACCAGCTTTGTCCCACATTCCCAAAACGCCATAAATGCAAAACCTTTTCATCAAACAGGACTCCTGGTCATTAGAAGCCACAAGAAAGAACATCTATACAACTAATCAAATAGGAAACATATCACACTGTGTACTACGACCTGGAAAATTAGCTATACTTTCCACTTGGTCCAAAATTATGGATAAAATAACTACTTCACACGCTTATTAACAATGAAAATGAAAATGAAAATGAAAATGAAAATGAAAATGAAAATGTAGAAGCAAATTCTGAAATGCCTGCCACCACCCCAAGGAAAAATAAATCGAGCAAGGAGACACAAAAAGTGTTTTACATCATAAGACTTGCCCTGTAATTCTACACCAGGCTGAAAGTTGTCTTTCTTAGAGCCATCTTTAGCAATTCCCATGTCATTGGTAGCAATGCCAACTACCTTGTCAGTTGTGTCATATAGTATCTGAAAGTTGATGATGAAATGAGAGCAGAAATCAATTAACCTTCAATAAGTAGCCTATAAAGGATTGCAAGTACCTCACTAGCTGCGAACCCAGGGTATATCTCAACTCCTAATTCTTCAGCCTTCACTCCCAACCAACGTACTAACTGACTTAAACTGCCGAAAAAAAGGTCACGTGAATATAGCATACAGACAAGTCGCAACATTATATAAAGACCTAAAAGTTGTTAAAATATAGACATCAAAGTCTTGCATTTCGAAATGTCAAGTGTTCCTCAAATATGCAAGAATAACGTACTATTATCACATTAATATTGGATAGGAAAAGAAAAGAAATGAGGATCATCTGAAATGATGCAGCTCAAGGAAGTACGATAGTGTTAATCAAACAAATTTTACCCCAAGGAAAATCTCAAGAAGTTTTGGGTCTCAAGAAAACCCAGTTTTTCAGTTTCATGTTTCTTGTTACATTCTTACACATTACATATCAGCAACATTCTGTTAAAACCTCTTATAACTAGACAAAGACATTCAGTGGCAGCCTAGGAGCATAAAATCAGTTGACAAAAAACACTTATTTCAATCAAAGCATAGTGAACCATAGTTTAAAATGGCGAAGCCATGGCGACGCCTCGAGGCGAGGCGACCGAGACGAAGGCCACATCGCCTCGCCACTGCCTGAGGCGACCCTGTTCGCGAGGCGCTCGCTTCAGGTTGCCTCGACTCGCCTTTTCGCGTGGCGAGAGGCGCCTGTGTGGCGCACCTCGGCGCCTTTCAGGGGAATTAAAGGCCTGTACCACCCCTTATTTTTTTAAAAAAAATAATAATAAATGTGTGTTAACACTTTCTGGAAAAGAGAATAAAAAAAACGCACATCGGGCTTTTTTTTCCTTCATCTCCCAGACTAGGGTTTTACCGGATTGAGGACATAAGCAAGAAAATCTTCACCTTCAAAAACCTTCAATTACTTTCTTAAGTGGTGTTTGTGTTTCAATTACTTGCCATTATGGAAGATATTTGATGTTATTTTTATCATTTGTACACAACTATATAATTGCACAATTTATAATATTGTTTTTCTAAATTTTGGTGATATGTGTAGCCGAGGCCTCGCCATGGCGAATCGCCTCGCCTCGTGGCGAGGCCATGGGCCAATCGCCTCGCCTCGCCATTCGCCATTTAAAACTATGTAGTGAACAAGCTTCTGAAAGAGCAGCGATAAAGAATTTTAGCACTATGTGCTTGATTTGAAGAAACTTCCAAAAATATAACAAGTGGTTCACTCGCTCATAAGAATGTAGTGTTCACTTGCCGCAGAGAACCATAGACATTGAATTATACTACCATAAAAAGACTACATTAGAGTTTGAGTAAGGAAAGTGCATGTGTCGATTCTTAATAGCATATAAAGTAATGTTACCTAATGACGTAATTTCCGCTGTTATTGAACGGAGATGGAAGGGGAAAAGTACGAGTTTCAGAAAGCAACCAAAACTTATCAGAAGAAACAGGGACGTGAACAGGCGCCTGCAAGTGGTGTTAGCCATTTTAAAATCAAACTGAAGCATCATATCAAAGAAGAATGCGAGGATTTGTTGCATAGGTGAACATATAAAACGATCATCATCTATGAAATAATTAGACACTTCTTTAAGTATAACAAGGCTGCAAAAGTTGACAGTTCTTTGAGCCACTTATTTTCTTGAAATGTTACATTATCACGACATCTAGTCTATCATTAAAAAATTATATATTTCATGTTAATGAATATATTAGACACACAGTTTAAGTCTCAAGTTGAGTTCTGCAGGATTCTGCTAAAGTGAAACTATCAAGTCATTCTGCAGCTGAAAAGCAGAGAAATAAACATTCATAGTGAAACGCCCAAGTCACTCTGCATTGACACTAAAAACCTATATTCATAGAAAGGAGAATAAAGACATTAACCTCCTCCTCTTTCCAATTTGGAAGAAGTTCATCCAGTGCTCTAGGTTCGAAAACATTCCCCGATAATATATGAGCACCTATGGAATCAAGTGACAGAAGAGAATGATCAGTTGTTTAGAGGTCTAGATGAAGAAGTAGTAGAAAAGCATATCCATATCAGTAAACAATTTTGTGCAAGCCCAACTAGGAGACAGTTCCTCTAAAATTATATAGCTTGCTCTTAATAGGAAAGCTGAAACAGCTGATTACAGTCAGAAAATCAATAACAATTTTGAAGAAGCATGTTATACAGAAAATGCTAAAGTATAAATGTGGGACATAAATAGTACTACCTCCGTCCCACATTCCCAAAAAGATACGTCTTGGTTGCTATTCGTGTTTGTCCCACAAAAGATTGGTCAATTTTCTTTGATGAAGTAGGTAGAATTTAAGTTCTTTTTCCCTTTTAATTCAGTTGCATACCTATCAATAAAATAGAAAAAAAAGAAAAAAAGCACACAATTATAAACTTAAAGGATTTAGAAAAACGCATCTAAATTTACTTTTCCAACAACGATGTTGAACCTGTGAAATTAAAAAAGATTATCTCCAGCTCCACTGAAGGCATACGTTAACAAAGATTCTCATCGTACTTTAAAAATCAATGAAACATAAGCAAGCAAAGGTCTGAAAGACACAACAAGAAATTTATGAGGACCAAATATGCATTACTGGTTGGAGTGTTTATTGCTGTTTCAACTAAAATGGTCACCCACTGAAGCGTAATTATGCATTCTTAGCAAACACCCAACTTCTTGAATGGTATAACATCTCAGCTGACTATAAGCCAAGTTTAAGTGTCGATAACACCATGAACCAAGAAAAACAAAATCATTCCCATAATGCATTGGCCCGACCAGAACACAAGAAAACTCAAATGCACCACCAACTAATAAACATATCTATTTATTTTTAATTTGAATGTCATCATTTGGGTACACCAAAACAATCACATGTATCCTTCCATGCAACACTCAAACAAAAAAAAAAAAAAAAAAAAAAAAAAAAAAAAAAAAACAAGAGGAACAAGCTTAAAACAAAAGGCAAGAAGCAAAATTGTATATTACCTACTTCAGCTCCTTTCTCGACAACACACACCGACAAATCAACATCTTTTTCTTTGCACAGCTGCTTCAACCTTATGGCCGCCGATAGTCCAGCAGGGCCCGCCCCAACAATCACCACATCATAATTCAGAGACTCTCTGTTCACTGACTCACCGCAGTAGCTTCTCACTCCACCGATCAAATCCTGGCGACTAAAACCTGCGAAAGTTGCAGACTCCGATGAATTCGCAAAAGGTAGGGATGAGTAAAGGCTCGTTGTGCCAGGCAGCGCGTGAGCAGAGCCGCCGGAAAGCTTGGGTAGATGCGAAATTTGAATTGGAACAGAGTAATTTATCAGAGATTTTGACGATTTGGAGATGAGCCTGAGCATGATTGAGCTGGAGAAAAGAACCACACGCAATGGTGTATTGAAGGATTGTATGAATCGTGATTGGAGACGAGCTCATCTATAACCATGGAGACAAACGTATTTTACCTCATGGTCCTCATCCCTGTGTAACACTTGTTAAAAAATTATTTTTTTACATTTAAAATTAATGAGAATACATATTTTAAATTTAAATATTTTTTACAAAAATTTATATATATCTCTACTATAAATATAAGAAGACATTGAGGACCAATTGTGGGCTTGACACGTGTCTTTTTGTGTCAAAAATGTCCTTCCTTTTATCATGTATTTACAGCTTTGCCACAAGAGAGAGAGAGACATGATTTCCCCCACAAAATCTGAGATTGTGTTTTACACTCTGTGCTTCACCTCTCTCACACGCAACAATCAAAACTCCCTCATCTAACCACCGCAAATACTTAGGTGTGCCAAGGTGCACGGTAGTATCACTGCCTGGCTTTTTTAATGCGCTTCAATTAACGTCAACTTTTCCTGACACTCGCACGTCTTCCTCCTGCGAAAAGCCCAAAATTAGGGAAGATCAGTTCGTCTTCGCCATTTTCCAACCCCAAATCGACCCTACCCTATTCAATATTCATCCATTTTGAAAGTATCTTCTCCTATTCAACATTCACCCATTCTAAAAGACCACAAGATTTCACCCAAAAATTCGCCAGAAGGCGGGGAGGTGCCCACGGCGCCAGCTCACTGCAAATGCGCCGCCACAGGGATGCGGTCAGAGTGTCATGGCAGCGGCGTATTCGAATAGCACGTTTTCTAGCCTGAGTGAGAAGAGAAGCAAGCGGGAGGAGAACGACGACGAGATGGCATCGACCTTGCTGGATATCGCCGACGGGACGGCGGTGGCGACGGGGCACTAGGGCAGCCGGGAGGAAGAAGCTCCGCCTGTCCAGGGAGCAGGCGGTGGTGCTCGAGGACACGTTCAAGGAGCACAAAACATTAAATCCGGTGAGTCTATTATTTCTCCTGTTTTTTTCTCTGTCTCCGATGAAATATGAATAGCATTCATTCTGTAACACCCCGCCTAATTATTTCTAGAATTTATAAAATCAGAGTAAAATTTTTGCTTTTTATTTTCGAAAAAACTCTTAAACTTTATTTTCGAAAGTACTCATACTAACTTGCGGGATGCTACTAACTTAAACTCTTTCTCATGCAGACGTAAATAAATACATGCAACCTAATCAAATCCGTTATATAAAGGTACCACGGAGATAAAGGCATTATACATGCATAAGTCTGATAATCTCATAACATATACTAAGTCTGAAATGTGCGGAAGCTGAAACATAATATGTCTACGCATAGTAATAATAGTACATGTTCAATAAATGACATGCAAATGCGTTACAAAAAGACAGCTAATGACCATGACCACCACTGAAATCTCACGCGCCACGCGCCGCTCCGTCACCTGAAAAACATAGTCGGGGCGTGAGCAAAACCGCTATGCTCCGCAAAGACCAGTACTTAATTATGCAACATCGTTAATAACAATATCATGACTTTAAGTATATATAAACTGATCTGAACTGAAACTGTAACTGGGGCATCTGGTGG